AAATAATAATAATAAAAAATCTGTAAACATTTCTCAAGGATTTGGAACCACAATTCCATTTCTTTTTTACAGACTTTTTAGCAATTTGTCATTAAATTTTACACCGGTGTCCAAATTAAGCCATGGTCACAACATCGCCTACTTTTAAGGGAAATCACATATCTCGAGACTCGCCAAACTGAAATGTTTATATTACAGTTTTAAAATGGGCGAAATCAGATTACAACCTACTTCTCACATAACACAATAATTTTTTTTTTTTTTTTTTAATTCATTTGAAACCTTCAGTTTCTCACTTTCCAGTATATAAATTAAGTATGAATTAATATATCAAGATAAACCTTTGCACTAATGTGAGGTGTGCCAGACAATGACCAAAAATTGACTCCCACTCAGCATGGGGCAACACTACACTCTCCAAATTACATTTGTATTTTTATTGATTCATAATTCTATCAACCATATATAATGCGCCCACTCATATTCTTTTTATTGGTCGTCGCACAGAAAACATTCCCTCACTGCCAATTAAGTTGAACGTTGACTCATTAGCGAATAGATTGTCCAAATTAAATGCTCTTTAGTGAATTTAGAACGCTTAACTTTTGTTACCGAAAACATCGGTTTGTATGCGGGACGACAACTTCTTAGTGAATCTTTTAAGAGGCGCTCACGCATACTTTTTGTGGATATTTGCAAAGTTTATTGTTAAGATATATATATTTTTCTAAAGCAATATTTTAGTTGCGTAAGTTATGGCCCCCACTGTATATTATTGAAACTAAAAAAGAGCTCTTTCTTGATTATATTATGTCTAAGTGTCACAAATGGTTTTGAATAGGGTAACTACTTTCCTTAGGCTCCATATAAGTTATATAAAAATTTTCGAATTCCCGGTTGACTTTATACTTTTTTACATAAAGTCAACTGTAGAAGCAGAAACACTTTGTTTCTAAATATAAGAGTTCCTAAGAACTTACAATTGATTTTAAGAAACCTCGATTTATTTAATATTACTTGAATCATTTGTTTGAAAGTAAAATGGAATTTTACGATAAAGAAAGTGAAAAGTATTATGGAAGACCTAGCAAACATCCAAAAATGTTGCGTTTGAAATTGGGGGTCCATATTAGGTGAACTTCTGAACCAACTTTGATTATGTTCGTACTAAAGTTATGTACTTCTAGAAATTCAAGGAGTGACATATTCATTTGCAGCTCAATACGTAGAACATCTTATATTATTCTAATCTTCTAAATATGGTTTGCACGTTGCCAAATATTTAAGTAATAAAAGCAACTGCACAATTGAACTTCAGCAAGATGAAGACCAAAAGCACCCATTTCAACTTCTAAGTCCAAGACGCTTGGAAGCTAAGCTACTAAAACAAAAGTATGATAGAATTGTTGTAGAGTGTAGCTCACTTTCTCAATAAACGAAGAATGTGCAGAAATGTATTAGATATGTACGTTAAGCCATACAAAAGGCTAATGCCAGTGTTTTTCTCCTTTCTACTGTGACTCTACGCCAAATTTCAGGTTTCCAATTTGACTTGGTCCACAACGAGAAATACCAAATGTCATCAATACATCTCGATGTAAATATTATTGGTTATCGCTTGTGCGAACAGACAAGTGTATGCTTTTTACAAGCTGTTAGAATTAACTGCAGAGTAGTAGATCACAGAAAATTATTATATCTGCCGTAACATATAAAATAAAAAAAAAACTAACTTCGAGTATCACGCATTCTCAAATCGTTGTACACAGTATAGACCAAAGTGTTTTAAGTGTTTAATAAGAATCTGCAAATATATATTTAAGTCGCCACCAGCAAGCAAATACTAAGCCAACCCAACGTTTACTTGAAACCAGAATATTTCCACACACACACACACAGTTTCTGCTCACGTCAGCTGCCGCTATGTACGTGCAAATATTTCGCAGCAACGCTGTTGTCATTGTGGTTTTGTCAATCGCCAATATATGGCAGCAAAGTGTAAAATTGTAAAATTACACAGACACATATACAAATATACGCACACGTATATGTATAAACAAGTGTATGTTGGCATATCGATTACACGTGTATACACTTCCGAGAGTAATTTGCGCCGTTGTTGTCAGCGCTGTCGCCTTTGCTCGCCATCAACGCCGCTGTCAACGCTTTGAACAAAACTACATGTATGTGTGTCTATGCGACACATGTAATGGTGTGCGTGCTTGCATGTGTGCCATGCCATGTTACAGCCAAGTGACTGACTGACTGACTGCGGTGGCTGGTGTGCCACAGACAGACAATGCTGGGCTGTCGAGCATTTGCACACACACACACAAGTAGGCATAACTGCTTACTGTAAGTTTTTCAGTTAGTGCGTCATAGCCGCCGTAGGCTTAGGTATTTGTGGCACGTGGCTTGGCGTTGGCGCAGTTCATGGTTTTGTAATTTTCATAAATAACTTTTATTACTCGCGCAAGGAATGCGCGCTGAATGATGCTGATGCTACGTGCATGTGGCAAGCAATTGCCGTAACAAACATCAACTACCGCAGCGGGCCAACGCACGGCAGCAACAGCATTACAATAAGCGTATTTGCAAACAACGGAAAAAATTCATTTCTCTTAAATATCAACCAACCACCGTTGCTGACATTTTGGCCCTTTCAACAACCGAAGCGTTCGCCGCTTTGCCGCAACCGCAAACAACGTGCAACATTTAATATTTTAGTATTATTTTTATGTTGAACGTTTTATGTTGCCACATTTTATGTCACACAGATATGCGTAAGTTACTCAAAGTGTATGTCAATGTTCTTGTAAGTTCACAACGTTACTTATATGTAAGAGTCAACATTACATACGTGATACGATATTAATGACGGCAAAATTTACGAGCCAAGTTTTTATAACAAATTTACCGTCGCTCTGCGGAAACTACAAAAGTAATCTATCATGGATTTAGGAATAAGACTTTTAAAGAACTGATTGAGCTTGTTGCGCAAAGATAGTAAAACATTGAACTTAGTGTGCAAAATATATTTTTGGTTGAATTTGCAGTTTCTTGCGCAGCTTATTTGTATGGAAGGTATATGAGGCAGTAGTCCGATCGAAAAAATTTTTTATAGTACAGCAGGCTTTTCTCAGACAATTATCTGCGTCCAATTTGGTGAAGATATGTTGAAAAATAAAAAAGTATTCCACACAACAACTTGAGTTTAATATATCCGTTTGAGTGGCATCTTTATCTTACAATTATCCGATTTCGGTGTTTCTAAGATATGAGATGTTTGGTGGGAAGAAAGTAGCGCGGCCAATATTTTAGAACGAAATCTCAAAACCTAAGGGAGCAGAAGGTGCATACACAGACAGGTAGACGCACATGGCCAAACCGATTCAGCTGGTCCGAATGTAATAAAACGTAGTGCACAAAAAGACCACATCAACCTTCCTAAGGTAATAGTTCCTAAAATTCTCATACAATTCATAGCTGATCTAAGTTCGCACTGATTTATGTAGTTCTTTGTGAAGCCATAGACAAGAAGAACTCCTGTGCTCGAACTTATAAATAAGCAAAACGCTTAGTTTAATTTCCATTCTGCCAGTTCGGTGAGACGTCTGAAGGTATGCGCTCCCAAGTGTTGAAGTTTTGACCTCCCGTGAGTTCCTGCCTGCGAAGGCCTAACCCCACGGTGCTTTCTATTGCTAGAAGCACATAAATCAAAACAATGCGTTGATCAGCGCGCCAAAGCATAAGTGCATGCACCTGCACTATACCTTGAAGAACCAAAGCATGAGTGCTGGCATATACACTTATATTTTGGTTCCAATTGGTTAGGGTGGGACTCCATAAGCCACCTTGATCGGGTTCGAGGCCGACCTAAAACCTCTGCCGTACTCTGGGTCCGGCACCCGGCCGCAATTCGGATCCACATTGGACTAAATACCCTGCCTGCATTTAGGTTTAAACCACAGCCACCACGAATCCCCCCAAAGGGCCAAACCCAATGAGCAGATTGGAGTTTCCTCCAAGGGCACCACGTTTAAGTCTTTGGTATGACTTTTGTAACTTTTGGCTGCTACCAGTTTGAGTCCATAGTAATCTCACTCATGACTGGTGACATTTGTTGCTTGAACAACAAATGCCTTTATATTAGGAATTAATATAAAAATTATAATATCATTTCAAGCTAATATTATAGCACTTATCTGACTTTGACAATGTTGACATTTAAACAAAGACCTGAAATGTCAGACATAGTGCATTTTCATTTTAGTCGCCTCTTACGACAGGCATGCCTTACCACGGGTATATTCGGTTTCCCCCCCAACCTGGAGGGGTCCCCCCTACCCGCAGGGGGATCC